GAGACCATTGCTATTAGGTTGGAGGTCATTGCTATTAGGTTGGAGGCTATTGCTAGATTTCACAGAGTCCACCGGGTGCATCACCCAAGCCTTGGCTTTTCTAAGCAGAGCTTTTACCGAGTGTAGCCCAGAAGCGGCCTGTTCCTGGAAGCCATTGATGACCCCCTACAGATACAGATGAAGTATAGACATCTAAGCATCTACTGGGTAGAGAAGGCAAGAAGCGTGTCCAATCTGGGCGAGTGCGTTCGGGAGATGACCATATCGCCCCAAGCCAATGCGTACCATTTTCTGAGTCTTGTTCAAACCCATTTGTTGGGTTCTCAGTGAGATTTAGGACAAATCCATCTCCCCTACTTCCAGACCTGGCAACATGTTGTGCTCCCAAGGCCATGGATCCCAACCCAGCCATTTGGCCGGAAGAGACTGAGCACAGGCGACTGGATGACGCACCCGTCTAGTCATTGAAATCGACCCAAATAGGCATGGAACACGGACCTCTTCAAGACCATTTGGCTCTACAAGGTCAGTAGTAGATACCAGTAGTGTAGGTTCTGGCAGGAAGCGTTCAGTTTCTTCATTGCTGCGATAGATGTGTCCCTGTAGAAGCACAGAACAAACCACAGACTGTGAAAAAAGATGGTATTGAGAATGTTGGTTGGCTATTCCCGAAGCAGCTTTCTTTCTTGGCCATTCCTGATCTTGCCAGGTCCAACTTTTGGTACTTGGCTCGGAATCATGATCCTTGGCTGCTTGGTTGAAGATGGGGAGTTGGTCCCGCCCCTTAGCGACTCCTGTGAAGCAAAGAATGACTCAACTTGCTTTCTTTAAGCATCGGGTCCGCTGCAGCTTTCGAATTCCCAAGGTTGCGTGGTCTCAGCAAAAAGGATTCTCATCTTGTGAGGGACCCTCACGCTCCGGTCAATTTGTGGAGGTCTCATCGTCACCGAACCTCATCCTCTCATCCCTCAGCCCACCTGTACTGATGCCTCCACTAGGTGTTGATACCTGTACTCTGATATCCCTCACCCCCCGTGGATGAACCCTTGCTTGCCCTCAAGTTTGATCCATGCTTCATCACTGATCAACAGCTCATGACCCATGAAAGGAGGGATCCACTCTGGCCCACTACTGGGACTAGCTCACGCAAAGCAATCCTGGGAGCAGTATATACGTAGTATAGTTGGGTACTTGCCTCCTCAGCGAGAATGTTCTGGTACATACCAAATACCAAGGCACTGCTAATGGGATAGACACACACACACACACACTCTGAGAAACGGCTCCGAAGCTCAAGACGGTGTTTCCATTGTTCAATGTCCACCCATCGTCACATGATGGATGTGGCTGAAACAATAGGGCGCCGGCATCCACAGATTGTAGTCTATTCTTTTGACCCCTCCATTTGGATGAGCCATAGCCGCCATAACCCCACATTCACGATTGGCCGACAGGATCCACGAAGAGGACTTGCGACAAAGGCGGGCCGGGCGCAGCCTTGTTTGGGGTGATTTACTGTAGTTGGACTGTAGTTACCTGCCAGACCTGCAGATTTTTGCCGCTCAAAATCCGCAAACACCTGGAGCTCTTCATCCCAAAGATGAGCGGCCCTGAAAGATCGATGTGGAAAGATGTGCGGGAGAGACCGGTTTGCCGAGACGATCGGCACTGACAATGTGTATTGATGTGGCTATTGCAGCTATTGCGATATCTACGGGCATGCTGACATTTGTGCTGGTTCACTGACCGACAATGTACAACGACGCATCTACCAGCAAGTGTACTGGCTAACCTATGAGTCCTGATTTGGCGTCTTTGCGCACGTGCCAGCTGGTTTTTGAACTGACATATGCTACGTTTGAGTCTGCTGCACCTTTGGACGTTTGAGACTGGCATACATGATAACATACCCAACGACTTATCCCGCAATACGCAGGAAGACATTTAAGTTGACACATTTGCTGACATATATTGACATGTTGGCCGACATGGAGACACGGCTGAGAGTAAGGTCCAGGGCATGACGGGGCACCGCTGCAACCCTGGAAATTCAGAGTGTGCAAGGTTGCCTTCGGGCGAAAGGAACTCAAAGTGCTTCTTTGGCCGCCATTGCGCGCTTTTCTTTGCTCCATATGCCACTGTCCTAGGCCCACCTTGCGGCCTCGTATACAGGTAAGCAGCCAAAATGCAAGCCAACGTACCAAAGCCATTTAGCAAGAACCTCGCTTTGCTTGCTTTGAAGTGTATACTGGTGCCAATATGTTAGTAGCCTGACGCGAGCTGCACCAGCCATGCGCAGCTCGCCTCGAGCCCGTACGGAATAGTGGTGTCCAAAAGCCAGCACTTGTGTGAGCTGGTAGAGATGGACGACCCACCAGTTCCCAGACAGAATGGGTCGGCAGGCAAGCCAGAATGCAGAACCAAAGGTCCAGGTGCAGGGCTTTCCTCTTGGTTTCCTGGAAAGAACAACTTGAGCACTGAAAGAGATGCAATTCCATATGTTTGCACGGAGGTATCCAAGCAACATGTCGGACACAGGTGAGGTTATTTTGTTACTTTTGTTCGCCCTCTATGTTATATATGCATTATAGGTTTTTGTGTCAGGAATGGGGGAAGGCAGAGACCCTCACCTGACAGGTGGGGAACAGATCATTCAAATACAGCGAAGCCGTCCTGCTGGACATCCGAAGATGTTTGACCTTCTGTGCACCGCTTTTTGCACTGGAGGCTGAAAGCCACAAGCGTTGAACGCACTCTTTTTGCAACCCTTGTTTAGGTTACAAGGCATGGAAATTGAGCCCATTTCAAAGCCTCTTTCAATTGGAGGGTTGCAAGCGTAGACATTCTTTCACTTGGTAGCGCTAAACAAAAAGCACGCAATCCCTTGGCTGAACACCTTTGAGCAGTACCATGATGTGTTGTTGATTTTTGGTTCCCGCAGTCACACCCAGTCACATTGAAACTGAAAATAGGACAGCTCTCCTTCTACCAGAATCTGTTTCTTTGGGGAGGAGAGCTGTCCTATTTTTCCATTTGCTTCTTGTTACTACTAGTAAGGCACTTGCTCCTAGTAGCGATGCACTTGCTCCTAGTAGCGGCGTTGTTTTTTGTGCTCCACAGGTCGCTTCTTTCGCGAAGCCTGCCAGGATGTACGGCTATGGTTTTTCCTATGCCCGGCGCTTGAGCGTCAAGGTGCCTGTTTGAGAGGAAAACTGGCTGCGAGTACATAGGATGCTTGTTTTTTTGGACTCACTCCCTGATAGAAGATGCTGCTGGTGGAAAGCACATGCAATACATTGCAATACCTGATTCAGTCCATAACAACCCTGGTGGTATCCTCTCAATGCAGCAGAACTTTCAGTAGAGGTCCTTCTTATAATGGATGCAGGCTTTCCATGTCGGAAAAAACAAGGCAATCTTTCTGGAATGTTGGAGCTATTCGTCCCCATTGCTGACATGCAACTACTAAGCATAGAGCATGTTTGCATGAGACAAAGCTACACACTTCAAGCATCTGAAGGTGAGCATGTCCCAATAGACTGCTCTCCTCAGGTGGTTGTGCATGGGGGCATGACATTTCCCATTTTCAGGCAGTACAGGTAACCAGCCTTAGGGATCAACAGGACACAAGAGGCGTAGTGCAGCCAATTCGATCGGTTTCTGAAAATCATGGCCAAGAAGACAGCACAACGTCTTTACATGTCTTCACACTGAACTGATGCGCTGAGCTGTTTGCTTTTCCCATCAGGTTACTGGTTACTTATCACTTATCACCTTCATGAGCTCTCTTTGGGCTCGGAGTCCGAAAACTCTCCCCCCCAAATGGTCCACATCAATGGCTGAGATGCCTTCCCCCTCGAAACTCTTGGCTGACCACTCCCTAGTGGCGGTTTACATTGGGGTTTGTCTGAAAAATGTTACGATTGCTTCTCCAAGAGCCCCAGGACCCAAACTGCAGCATCATGCCATGCCACATGAGCTCCAGCCCGCTCCGCTGTGGTACTTGCATCGACGCCGTCGGGACGTTGGGAAACGCAGTGGAGAAGGGTGTGTACTACTAGTAACAAGAAGCTACTAGTAGCGTCCTTGCTCCTAGTAGAAATGCCCTTTGCTACTAGTAGCTTCTTGCTACTAGTAGCAAATTGGCTACTAATAGCGACGCACTTGTTCCTAGTAGCGATGCCCTTTGTTACTAGTAGCTTCTGGTTACTAGTAGCGATGCCCTTGTGACTAGTGCCAGGACTTGGCTTCACAAGCCGAACGTGAGGATGTTCCAAAAGCCCTGCAGCGCACCAGAGCTCAGCGTTTGAGCGTTGTTTTGGTGGCTTGGGTGGGTTTGGCCAACAGCGAATGCAGCCGTTCAATGAGAATTCAATTTCGTGGCGCCCAGAACTGCCTTGGGTTGTTTTGCAGTCCCTGTCCCCGTCATCAATTCTCTGCAGATGACCTAATTTTTGTACTGAACATCGGAGACTGACGTGGGAATGATCGCATTTGCACTCCTGCGGTGCAAACGGTGCAATCATTCCCATGTCATGTATGATGTCAACTACATATTGCGAATCTGATCGAATCTGTACAAAGTGTGGTCACTGTGTATATATAAAAGCATTTGCTTCCCTCATGTGTGCAACCTCAATGGCAATTTTCTGCACGGTGAATGATCTGCATTCCGGCAGAAACCACTCGATAGACCACCTCCGGCACAAAAAAGCTTGGCTTGGCAAACAAGCTCCATTTTGGTCTGTCTTGGCGCATATGTTCTCGAGTTTGCAGCATGGTACACCATGGACATATTGGGTCACAAGCATTGCGATCCCAAAGGGCTTGGTAGCTCGCAATCTTTCGTAGGACAAGCCGGCGTCATTGTACGTCAGAGCCCCTCAGGGCCCTGTAGGTTGTGCACCACGCAAACGACTCTTTCATACTGGAAATATAGTTGAAGTTGTATTTCCCACCAAACCATCCCTTTGGGGGTTGCCATGGCCATTGCTCATCTCGGACATCGCGGCCCCATGGGCGCACGAGGCCGCGAATTTGATGGGATCATCTACGGCAAGGTTGGTGGCGGGCGTGGAGAAAGAGTGGGTTGGTGAACCCCCCTGCGAGAAAGGCCCAACCTCAGGTGGTTGTTCCATGAGTCATGCCAGCAGGAAGCTTGATGGCAGCTTAGGACAATGTGTTTGGAGAGAGGCACTCTGGAGTTTGGAAATTTGGATAGCTTCTTCGAAAAGTCAACAGTTTCAACTTGATGTTAGCTTTTGCAAGCTGTCGCCTGTGTTTGCTGAGGCAGGTGCACTTTGGAGGGCAGAATCGGGACATGATCTTAATCTCGACTATATAATTCTTTCATGTGTTCTTTCCAGATGCAGGAGACTTTCCTGGTCACATCCCCGTTTGTGTGGTTGTTTTCACCTGGGATTCCTGAAAAGCATTCCTTGGGCCCTCCTCCACCGGATCGTTGTTCACTCGCCTCCGAATCCGACTCCTCACTGATCGTCTCACCGCCCGGAACCGGTCTCGAGTGCAGGTGGGGCCTGCCCAGGGTTGCGAGCCCTTGCCATTCTACGATGACGTGCAAGCTGCGGGATATCCTGGGGAGGTGCGAGGGGTGGGAAGAATCTTCAGAAGGTGGAGGGCCACCGGTGCGTTTCCAGAATGAAGCGGGGACCTTGTTGTGCAAACAACAACATACATATACTGTACATATATATATAGATTGTATAATTAATAGAATGCCCTCCCCAAAAAGGGTCGGTCAACGGATCACTCACGGCCGCCTTCATGGCCTGTGGAAGAACATTTTTCTGCCCCACCATATGAATTTGTTCCGCTTCCATGTTGCCTTTTGAACTGTGGCAGTTGGATGTGCAAAAGAACCGCAACAATTCACCTGGCTTGTCAGCGGTCCCGGTCCTGGTCGTTCCCGACATGACCGGACTCATCGGATATGTTTTGGCCATTGCCGCTCTGGTCACTTGCTGCCTCTCCAGGAAATGCCCAGGAATTCTTACGAGTTTGAAACTATTCGCTTGGTTGATAGAAGAGATGTATTTGTTTTCAGCAAGTTGGGATTTGGAGGTAGGCTTTTTCAATGGTCTAAGGGGAAACAAACCAGCCTCCGGGTGGCTTTCAGTGGGGAGATCGAAGTACTTGGTATGTTTTCTGAGATCTTTGGTGACAAGAGATGACAGAGATGACAGGACTGAGACGACTGAGATGACTGGGAGGTTCTCTTAAGTGGGAAGAAACTCACAAAAACACAGACACACCTTGTCCTCTTCAGATCACCTGGTGCTTCTTTTCATTTCTTTTCCATGAGGTTTTGGGCCAGGCCTTCAGTAGTGAACCAACTAGATGACCACCATGTCCCCATGTATAAGAATCGATTCTTAGGCACTTTCACTCCTCTGATGTCTCGAATCGTGGGCCTTGTCGTCATGGTCTTTGGTCGAAGCAAGGTCGGTGGATCGATGCTTTGCTTGACCACATTGGTCACATCTGGTCGGTGGGTCGGTGGAATCTGAAGGCTGAACCAAAGGTTGTTGTCGATTGTTGCAGTGGGTAGAAGGCGGCAATGGAGTACTGCACATCTATCTCTTGCGTGTGTGCGCCGTTGTTTTGTGGGTTTTGTTATTCTACTGGTCATGTGGATCCTGGATGTGAGTCAAAGCAACCCCATCACTCCCCACAAACGCTTCATTTTGAAGGCCCCCAGGTTGGACATTCTGTTCATTTTCTGAACACTCACCAGGCTCCAGTTCATGTCTCCCAAACCACAAGTCGTTTTCAACTGCTGGATCCTTTCACCGACGGTTTTTGTTCGAGCCTTGGCTGATCGCGGATGCGCCAGCGGGTGGCCTTCGTTTACGGCGGTGACTTCGGATTGGCGGAAGCCCAGCGACTGCCTGAGCAAACATCGGGTGTGACGGAGTCGAACACCGAGAAGACCAAGAGCGCAAGACGTGTCGTGACGTCGTGCAAGTTCCAATTTCCGGTGAACGATGGTGAACAAGGTAGGCCTTGCATCTAGAGTCCCAAGATGTCCTGAGTGCGGTGGGTGCATTAGGGACCCGACCCTTGCCTGTGAGATAGAAGGTAGACCTTGAATTTGGGTGGTAGTTCACTCAGGCTACCCCCACTTGGAAAATCTCTTGGGACCTTTGGCATTCCTTGTTGGCACAGGGTTTCCTGCATGGGCTGCAGCTACCTTCTGTCAGATTAATCAGGATGACTCCTCATCATCCTGCATCACTGAGAACGAGCAGCTAGACCTTATTAGAGATATTAGAGCAGCTTTGCTGTGGTGTAGGAAAGAGTGTCCATCACCAATGATCCCCGTAACTCAATAGTGATCAATCCTCCCCGAACAGTTGATAGTGAATCTGATCATTTGGTTGTCTCAGTTGTCTCCTGACATTTGATCATGAATCCCAAGATATCCCAAGAAAGGCATCAGTTTCAATCCCTGACGATTGAAAGAGTGAAGCCAGGGTGGCGCGCCACGCGCGGATCTTGTCGGGCCTTGGCTTGGTCTTCTTTCGAGAGACTCGGTGAGACAAAGTCTTTGGGTCGGTGAAGGCGCCTACTTAATAAGGAGGTAAGCTACTAGGAACTTGTCACGGCAGTGGCGTTTTCGTCGAACCAGCTCCCCAGAGTGCCCGCCAGCAAGCAGTGTTGAGCAATTGTAACCATTGGAGTCACAAAAGCTCAAAAGTCAGCCAAAAGTTAATAAAACATATCCACTGTATTCCACAGTATCTACATTGTACATAGTTTTAAGATTATTGAACCTTCACCTCTGTGCAACTTTCTGGCCTCCAAGCGCTTCTGTTGTTGTGCACCCGAGTACCGGGCCAAGAACTCACCCGAAATGGTCCGAGATCTGCAAACCGTGCTTTCGGATCCAATCGGGAGAGATGAGGAGATAGACGTGCCCGACGAGAACTTCGCGTGGATTCCTGCCCGGGTCTTTCCAAAAGCTTGTTTCTTGGACTTCACCGAAAGGTCTCGTGGGCCAAACGACATGAGAAAGAACCAAATGGAGCCTTCGTGCCTGACCCACTGAGAGTTGCAAGCATGAGGCATGATCTGTTCGCTGAGGCTAGGCCCCACTGTGCCTGGTGAGTGATATGATGATATGACTTGATATGATATGATACGGTATGACTCGGTATGACTTTATAGCGATTTTAGGACCTACCTCATGGACTCTTTGGGGATCTTGTCTTTTTGGGGCCAGCCCATCCCGTGGAGCTCGACCAACTCTGGTCGTTCACCCTACACTCGACGCTGGTGGAGCGAAGCCTTCTTTGGATGTCGGAAGGTTCGAGAAGCGAAGCTCGGTGACGTGTCAACGAAAGACGGGACAATCCAAAATGAAACAGCAGCTTCATGTGGTTTCGGGCCGGAGAGCAACTTATTGCGGAGTTGTTTTGTTGCCAGAAAGACACCTGGAACGTCACCACACAGCCCCGTGCCTAAGTCCAGGAATCTAGATGTTTGTGCTTGATCCAACCTGTATCTTCTAACGCCCTTGAAAGTTATCGTCCGAGTGATCCAAGGACCAAGGATCTCATGGTTTCTTGATGTTTCTTGGTCAAACAACATGATCATACATATATTATATAATATATATATATATGGGTAGTAAATGTAACGTGCAAGAAACAAACACAACTTGACTGATTCGCCAGGTTTGGCCAAAAAATATCCGAATACTTCGAACCAATGGTTGTCAAGGGTTATGTTGGTGCTTTAGGTACAATCAGTGGGTTTCATATGATTTCATGGATCACACATGTCCTCAGGCTACTGCGACCCCTTCTGGAAGCAGTTCTTCAAGTTGTGGCGGGTCCGCCTCAAATGCTGGAACTGCGATGAAGCGGATGCTCCCCTGCGCACCCAGTATTGGGATGCTTGGCAGAAGTGGTGACCCCATGGACTGCACCGTGGATCTAACGCACCCCGGAAGTGACCCAAGGCACCTGGGTTTAACATCCAAGGCACCACTGTCATTGTGTACCCTCCTACAAATGAGGAGTAGGCCCACAAAGATGTCAAAATCCTGTTCTCCCTCACAAACAACCATTGGAACTTGGATCCCTACCTTTTTATCTCATCTGTGGTTTGTCAAGAAAGATCTTCACGCCCAGCCACTGCGGCACCGTCGGCTTTTCTCGAGCGAAACACTTGGTCTGGTGGCCGCCTCCGGCGTTACGGCGGTACGACGCCGTGCGGTCTCGACGCTTCGCCGAGGAGCACTTTCAACAGGTCTGGGCTGGCTACCCCTGGTCCAAAGGAGCCGAACAAACAGGTTGGGCTGGCTACCTCAACGATATGGCTACTCACTTGAGTGTTTGGACTGGAGGATATGTTGGGAACTTGTTCAATATCTCCACAAAGAGCATTTGGCAGTGGATTGGTTTCGAGCCGCTCCCAAATAGACTGGGGGGTATTTGTGATTGAAAGATATTGAAAGTAGAAAAAACCGCCCTTCTTTGAGGACAGATGCAGGTGGACATGGCATCAATTTGTCCCCGACATCGAAGTCCTTCTTCGTTCGACTACCGATGTTCTACAGATCTTACCACGGAATGACCCCCCAACAAAGGAGCATTGCCGTCATTGCCCCCCCTTCACAAGAGTTGACCTGAGAAAAAAACTGTTCAAATTGGGGTTGCGGGTGGGTTATTGGTGGTGGTGGTGTCGGGAAGGATGATTCATCACTAAGGGAATTTGTCAGGTTCAAGTTTTGCATTCGAGTGGAACAGACAGGTTCTTCTGGACCAGTGACCCGTGACCAGAAATGGAATGTACTCTTCCAGTATGGACCATCCTAGTGTTTCAGAGGGGTGGGAAAAGGTTGTCTTTTTATGTTTGCTGGATTGGTTCCAGGTCAGGCCATTGAAGGAATGGGGTATGTGTCAATGATTCGGTGAGTTACATAGCCCTGAGCCAAGGAGTCGCAAAACCGAATGCTTCTTTTGGAGACAACAACAGGCGGTTGCCTTTCCAATAGACCCCATAGCTTTTTCTCAGCTTGGAGTATATAGAAGACAGCATATTTTTTGCCAATGTAGGCTGACACTTCTTTTTGAAGGCGACAATTAACAATGAAGCGCAAAAACAGAATAACATAGGAGGAGTGAACAAGAACAGTTGGTATTGATTCATTATAAAAGCAAGACAACAAAAAAGACCTCCATCCTCCATGGCAGGAGACCAGGTGGAATACCTGAAGCCCTGTTGGAGCGGCTTTCTACTCCTGTCCTTTGCGATGCTCTCCCAGCCACAGTTGCCTGGAAGATGATCAGAGGAGGGGCCGAGCTTGGATATGTTGGGCAGGGTGGACTTCTGTATAACTACTTGAAATGGGTTTTTGCAAGGAGATGAAATGAGATGGTCCCACATTCGGGCAGGCATTTTGCCTGTTCTTGAAATTGAGGTTGGGGCACTTCACAGATGATCATAGTCTTGAGAGTTCTCAATGAAGAGGTAGGGTTCTTCTCAGTCGCAAGAGTTTTGTTGCTTCAATGAATTTGACAGTGATGCTCATGTGGACAGTCCCACCCTGGTAGGAGAAGATGCCTTTGGGGTTCTAGAGTGAGCCTGAATTGGAGATTGCTTGAAAGAAGACCGGTGATGGTTTGAATCAGTTTGAATCAGTCAGTAGCGGAGGATGACCCGTTGAATCCGGGTGCCATCTGGATGTTTGGAGACTTATCCAGCAGGTAGTCTGGCAGGGTGTTTCCTTTTTGGTGGTCTACCCTCCCGGAAACTGGAGGTTGACGCCCTGTTTCGCCCTCGGCTTGGCCATTCTTTTATACAATCCGGCTACATACTCCAAGAGCATGTCTTGCTGGTGATTCCTTTGACAAAACCTCCTTGGTTTGGATCATCTGTCTCCTTTAGAATCCCAGGAAGCTGCCCATCGAAGAGCTTACCCTTCGATGCAAGTTTTTCGCGCAACATCTCCAAAAGGCTGACTTTTCCGGGTGCCGGTGACTTTTGGGATGGAGACCCAGGCGACCCAGGCGACCCAGGCGTCCGTTCGGGCATCGCTACGTACTAGGAGCTACTAGCGGCTCCTGGCATCGCTACTAGGAGCAAGAAGCTACTAGGAGCAAAGGGCATTGCTACTAGGAAGAAAATCATGCTATTCTCATCTATTCTCGGTGTTCTGTCATGTGGCTCAGTTGGAGGCCCCGAGTACCAACATACGAAGGGGGCGTCCCCTTTCATGACCTGTTCAAAAGAACAAGACCATTTCCCTTTGCTCATGGGTTTGGAGTGTACCGTATTATATATTGTATAATATTATATACACATATTCAGATATCAATTCATGATGTTCTTCTGCAGGATATGAAGTCTTGTGAGTCTTAGAACATGTTTGCCCATGGATAATTTGACAATCTTTCCGAGAATCTGAGAAACCGCTCTACGCCGCGGGTTTGTGCGGCTGGCTTTCCTTTTCCTACTGGTCTTCCGACGCGACCGACCCCGAAACGGCGGGGCCCTTTGAAGGCTGAAGAGCACGTGACCTTCAAGCCACGCAGATGTGTTCTGCCCCAGCTGCGGCGAGGCGCGGCTCGTGGCTTAGTAGATCCACCAGTCAATCACAAAGGGACTTGTGGGAGAATGCTGTGACCTGGTGTCTTTGGTGAGATTTGGGGCCGAAGCCCGTTGCCACCCAATCATTATCCAAATAGTCAAAACATGTCAAAACTGCATTGACTCCTTGACCTTGAAAAGCTTGACCTTTTCCACGGTGATCGGAATCAACCGAAAATAATCCTCACCAAAGCCCATCACCAAGGATATTGCATCCTTCTCGGGATTTCTTCATCGTCCCTCATGCTAATCAAACCACACAAGACCCTGGGATCCGAAAGCTTTATAAGGCACTTGTTACTAGTAGCTTCTTGTTACTACTAGTAAGGCACTTGTTACTAGAAGCGATGCACTTGTTACTAGTAGCTTCTTGTTACTACTATGGTTATTTTTTGATCATTTTTTTGTTTAAGGGTACAGTATTCTATTTGTGAGCCATAACTACCATATGAGCTACCGTCAGAAAACACTTCTGTGAGGAAATGGCAATGATCACCGTGTCAGTAGCGAATCTCTAATGTGGAGGATTCCTGGCATCTGCAAGGAGTCCGCGAGAAGTCTCAAAAAGGTTTCTTGGGAAACCTCCTTGTCACCGAGATGGACAAAAAAGCAGCACTTTACATTGAAGTTGCAAATTGTTATGTTTTGACTATGATGCCTTTGAGGAGACCTGTGACAGCGACATCTTTGGTTGTGCCCATGGCTCATCAAAGTTGCCGAACCCCTCCTTACCTCCGACTTGCTCTCAAGCTCGACTTGGCACATGCACAGACAGATGTAGCAGTGGTGAAACGATGATTTCCGCGTGGCCAATGGAAAGATGTGACCTTGTCGCCTTTGATGAGGTGACCTGCTGATTTGTTTGAGGAGTCATGAGCCATGCGGCATGCCATGCGGCATGCCATGCGGCATAGCCATGCGACTAGAAATCTTTTGACCGCTCCCTTCCATGAAAACCAGCAGGTTGCTGTCTTGTGGTGGGTAGGTCCACTGCAGAGTAACGTCGAAAACCATGAGTTTGTCAAGGAAAATCCTTGCGCTCCGTTTTCGATGTCCATATTGGCTTGTGGCACCCCCTGGGATCGTGTCCACTCCAAAACAAGAGCATCAAACCCCAAAGCCACAACTAAGAAGCTTCCGTTCTGCCATCACCATCTCAGCCCACACCCCACCCGAACCCAAACCCCCAACCGCCAGGGCAGGCCTCAGAGCCAGGCCTCTCTCCTCGTAAATTTTGTTTTCTTCGCGACGGGACGCTGTCGTTTTTCTTCGTTGTTCTTCGCCAGGTGCTCGTGCCTTCCGGAGAACCTTCCAAGTCGCGCCCCAGGAGATCCAACACTTCGTCCGCTCCGCCTGCGAAGGCGGGGATTTGGGACGCCGAGGGCAATGCGACTAGGCCCTCGTTTGCTACTAGCTTCTTGTTACTAGTAGCGATGGCCTCCAACCTAATAGCGATGGCCTCCACCTAGTAGCTTCTTGTTCCTAGTAGATGGAAAAGGGACAATGATTCCTTTTGGCACCTGAGGGAGGTTGTGATGACTCAAAGTGTTGGTTCATGTTTGGGACGTGACCAAATGGATTTTCAGGGGGTTGAAACACTGCCAGACCATGTTTGGATGTTGGAAGTCATTGGTGAGATGAGGATCATGAACAGATTTGTCTTTTCGACTCACGGATTCCTACTGTAACTTGATGTTTCTCAAGAAGCCCGAGTTTCTGTAAAGATCCTGATGTTTTCCCAAAGATATCTCAAGGATGTACCACTACCCAGTCTCAAAGATTTGAATCACGACCGAGTCATGAAATTGATTACAAAAGCACCAGGACAGGCCATCTTTCAGTCCACACCATTTGAACGTCCAGGAACTTCTCCCCGAAAGGAACTCCTCTTCCCCAGGCTTACGCGGTAGCTCAAGCCGCGGACGGCTCGATGCCTTCGACGCTGCCTTCGTCGGTGATGGGCGGAGCTTGCTGGAGCTGCGGATGGAAAAAGCATCGGAGCTGAGGCAGGTCACAAAGTCATAATGAATCGCATTCTCTGGCCAATCTGGCAACTGTATAACTACTGATTTGTGAAGGAGAGATGGTTTTCAGACCAGCCCATAAGATCGCATCCGTTGATGAGTGTGCTCCTCAATGTGAGGGAACACGGCTTCTCCTCTTTTGCGCCGGCATGTGGATAGTCTGCTCCGAGATTCTTAGATATTCTTAGGACACTCAATCTTTTCCAATGCTTGCTATCTCCTCTAAGAGGGGATCAGGGTTCAAGCCCTGGCAGCAGTGAAACAAAGCAAGCAAAACAAAACAAAACAAACAACGGGCTCCCGGGTGTCACCAAGCACTGTCCCTTCCAGTTCAAGTGCGACTTGCTGTGGCCCTCCCTATGGGAGAATTTTCATGGTCCACGGAACAACAGTCATGGACACAGGTACAGGCGGAGTGCACTTTGTGCAAGAAGAGTAGGACTGATGATGCGAAGATGTAGATGTGCTACAGAGTAGCACTGACTTGTTCTGTGTAGCAAGATTGAGATGCTTCAAAGCACCCTGCCCTCTCGCTTTTGCGGCAAAGGATTTGTGAATCTGAAGTCTGTCAACTTTGGGCGGTCTGCCCGCTGCTCCGAAGCTGGTTGAGCATTCACAGTTGAACCAGTTCTGTCGTGCCCACCAGGAAGCTGATCCATGTGCAGCACGCATGCATTGGAACGCAAATCACATGCCACATGCTACAAAATATCTTGGACCATCCAATGGGTGTCCAATAGAGATCCCGAAGTAGTGCAGGCTAGTCCATTGGACACCCATTGGATGGTCCTGGATGGATTGACTCCAGGATAGAACGGCGAAGAGCAAACGTCTGATGCGTCATAGACGGAATAGAATGTATTGGACATTGCCATCGCAAGACGATCCCGACCAGTGCTCCGGGGCCACTCGTTCCCCGTGCGAACTTGACCTCACGCAGGGTGGCACAATGGCACGTCTACCGGAAGGAGCAGATAGTCATGTCAGTGGAGCTTCAATTCGCTGGCGAGATGGTGGTGACATGTTCTTTTCTTTGCTTGGTTTAGATGATTGCCTGGGAGTTGAAACTTTATGGTATAGTTATGTACGAAAACCAGTCCACTCCACTCACCAAGCGAGTTCGCTGTTTTTGAGCATCAGCTGCTTCCGCAAGTGTATTCAGCAAGCATGTGAATGATCATGAAGCATGTTAGCCAAGTGGTCGCTTCGCCATCTGGCTCAGGGCCAGAAAGGGGGGGGTGGTGAAATGGCACGTGATGAAGCCGCTGTCTTAGCAGGAACTGGGCAAGTGGTAAGCCACCTAGAAGGAACACCCGATGAGAGACCGCATCCATTGCAGATGCCCAGCAAACAGGTTGTCCACAAGGTTCCAAGGTGGGTGTAGAAAGACTTGTCCATCAAGCAGGTCTGTGAAGCAGCGGGACTAATGATTCCACAACGCTCATGCTATATACAAAGGATGTATCTATATATTTGTTAGATGTAGACAATTTGCCGCTAGAAAGCACTTGCACAATACCCACTAGACCCACCTGCACAATCCTGTACATATCCAACCACCATGTTGGTCCGACGGTCTGACATGAGCCTGATCCTGACGGTTTGGTTTTTGGTCCGACCCAGCTTTGCCATGCAACATCTTACCAGTGCTTTGCGGTTGTGTTTGTGTAACATTTTGGTCACTGAAGACACTCCAGTGGATTTGGCTCTGAATCTTCCTTTTGGACGTTGACACAGGCAACCCTGGCTATCCACTTGGGGCATTCCATCAATCCATATCAATCCCATTCGCGACCTCTTCCTGAGGGGTCGTTCGAAGTCTGGCCGGGCGCCCAGCTGCTCTCGGTATGGGGGGTCTCCCTCAATATTGAACCGTTTATGAACAGTTAAAGTAGCTTTAATCAAGGACTCTTCTTTTGTGCTGACCTTGTAGTCTGTATTTTCACTTGAGACAATGTCTCGCCATGTTGCAGATCATGAAATGTGTGGATGGTTAGAGTCTGCAAAGGTCTAGAGTTTCCACCGTGTTTGCGTGGGGTCAGCCAGCCAGTGCCAATTGGTATTAGAAACCCCTTGTTTGGTTGCAGCATTGAGTGCCTCTTTGATGACTGAAGAGACCTGAAGCCTCTTGATGGCAACTCTCTTGGAAAGCTGATAGGTCTGAGGGCCCAATGGCACAATGTCACAGATATTTCTGCGAGTTTGGGTGCGTGCAGGGCACGTATGGCAAATACAGGCTGCTTGCAGTTGGCCGTTCTTGATGTTGGTAGACATTTTTGCTTGGAAACAGGTTGGAGTCGGAGTCTGTTTGAGCAAAGCGCCTTGAACAACGACTTGCAAAGGAAGGGGCCACATGTCGACAGCTTGCAAGAGAGGTTTGTAGAGCATGGCAACGGTTCCAAGCAAAGAGAAGTTTGAGGTTGCTGCAGCTCGTTCTTGCTTTTGCCATTGTGATGAACACATGAGGCCTGAAGTTTTTTGGTGACATCTCCTTATGAAAGCTGATAGGTCTGAGGGCAAA